GGCAACGAGCCAAATATTTCTATTATTAGATCTGGGAATGCTAGATCAAACCTCACTCTGTGGTAAACAACATACAAATGTTTCAGATACACAGATCTCATGCTGATTCCGTACCATTAAACCCACTCCTAACAAGCAGATAAGCCTATTAATTGATGATTAAGACTACAGGAAGATCAGTCATTATATTCAATGCTTCGTGTATGCATTCATTGAACAAATGTATTGGCAGTAACCATCCAGAGCCTTTCCCTCTAGGAATTACATTTTAAGGAAAGGAAGAGACGATCTAAACAAGAGCAGATTTCAAATCTTCTTCATACAGCATAAACCTGCCTTAGTTAATTGATTAAATTTTCAAAACTGAAGTTTTACAGTCAAAAGGAGATTAACATCTTTCCCCATTGCTTATACTACTGTTATGAACTCAAAAGTGAAAAATAAAGCCTAAGATGACACATCTGATAAAACCCATATTAAAAACAAAACAAGGAAACAGAAACACTGTCCAAGGGTTTTTTTGCAGTTTAATTTTTAAAGGGATAGGATACAAAGTACTCTGAAATATATTTTTAGTTCCTGTCCCCTACAGCATATGCGTAAGCAAGTAGGGCACAAAAGTTCAGAAAGTGACATTTTAATAATCAATTATTAGAGAAAGAATAGATGTTAATTTTATAGCAAGAAAAAAAACATTCTTGACTCTGCTTAAAAATAAAAGTGCTTTTTTTCCTGTGGTTTGTACAGAGAGGATATTAACAACAATACGCTCGTCATCCTCCTAAACCCTGCTAGAGCTAGGGAAGCAGCATCCCTGTGTTTTCACAGATGTTCCAATAAATAAAAACAATTTGATCCTGCACTGAAGGTACTAACAACAAAACCCCCAAACCCACCAGATTCACGTAGGAGTCACATCCTGTTACAAACATCAAACAACAATGAGCCTTTATTGCCACGCTATGATTCCTTCATTTCAAACATGATTAATTAGCAAGTATAACACTCACCAAAACTCCCACCGCGCTTCTGTGTGCTGCCTATTTGCAAATGGGGCTCTACCGAGTATCCATAAGCAGCATTGGTCTCACTTGTGACGGTGGAGAAAATAAGTCAAAGCATCCTGTTGTAAGACTTCACTTATATCTTAAGCCAGAAAGAAGAGAAGGGGGGGAAAAAAGTAAAGAAAAAAATATAATAAAATAAAGAGAGAGAAAAAACCTACCTCTTTAAGACCTACGTCTTTCTCTCTTTTAATCTTAGGAATTCCTTGACAATCCAAACACAAACCTCACGCAAAATGAAAAACTCTTTAAAGAGTTGCTGAAGAATTCAAGCGGTTGAAAATAAAAGCAGGCAAGGGAAAAGATGGCTTTAGACTTCGCGCTGATGTTTTTCACTTGAAACTTCAACTTTAGACTCAACCTGCAATACTCTGGTGCTGCTGAGAATGAAAAGCAAGCTTCACATGTCAAAACTGGAAACAAAAAGAGGATGGGAAGGGGAAGACACACTTAACAGGACTGTTAGCATGTTTTAAGCTGTGCAAACAGATGTCTGCAAATGCATCTCACTTGCAATAAACATTACTTTGGCAGTAAAAGAAACTTTGCTTGCTGGGAGGAGAGGTGAAACCAAGCTCACAAATACAGGAGGAGAAATGAGACTGAAATTAGGAGGGAAAAAAAAAAAAAATCTGAAATTGCCTCTTCAAGTTGAACTCTGCAAATACCATCACAACAACAAGAGAAAGAGGCTCAGTTTGAAAGCAACAGATGTATTCCTGAGCTTGAAAATATTATATTGCTGCTCAAATAACACACAGGCATAGAAAGAGCTTTCATACTTTTAAAGTATGAGAGGTGGTGGTAGGGGGGTATGAAGGCAGATGCATGTGCAGTAAAGTTGAACTTTCAACAGAAAATAAAAATTAGGCAGAAGGGGCAATAGCTCCTCGGTCAGCAGCTCCGCATCACAGATACTTGCTGATTTTGTCACGCGCAGAGTGGGATCATTTTTAAGTGCAAATCTGTCCTACCCTCTCCAGCTTTTCCAATTTTATAAATTTGGGATCAAAAACATCAAAGCAGCTCCCACTTCGGACCTAACTTTTAGAGGCTCAATGTGACAAGTCACCGCTTGATAGATGTTTCTCTTGATAAACGACTTGTTCAAAAGAGACATTGTAGCTTTCATTTCCTGACCACAACACACTTTTAATTTGCAACAGCAGAGCTGCTCGAGTGTGACTAGTTCCCACTCCGCAGCCTTTCAGGATTGTGCCACTGTCAGGCCACATACACGGGCAAAACAAAACACTCGCAGAGCGGCGCATCCGCAGCGAGGGCCGCGCCGAAACTTTTCCCCAAACGGCGCCCTGATTCCGCTCCATTTCTCTTAACCAGGGCTTTAAACCTCCCCCCTCCTCCTCCCGGCCACCTCCAGCCCCTCATGTTTGCAGGAAGGGGAGGAAAAAAAAAAAAAAAAAAAAGGTGGAGAAACTGTATTTGGAAATATATACTTAAGGGCATAGCATGCATATAGCTCCCTAACACCGCCACGTTTATTATACAGATATATATTACTGCTACTATAATTATTGTTATTATCTGGGAATCGCATTTAAGAGTCCAAACCGTCCACACCATCCAATTTCAGCTCTCAGCACACTGTCCGAATCCCGATTTAAAATTTATAAATGTAATATCCTCCTCATCACAAGCAGCAGTCCAATCTGCTCTGAATATATATTACAGCTTTAACATCACAGAGGGAAATCTCCCATCTGGCAATCACATTCGCTCCAACAGCTCCAGGAGGAAAAAAAAAAAAAGAAAAGAAAAAAGAAAAGAAAAAAAATGTTGCACTCTTCCCTCACTCTCCTCCTTAAAACATTTCTCAGGGCAAATTATGTGCATCTAAAATAAACAGCCGCCTTATTGATCGCTCCAAAGTCAACAAGTTCTAAATGCAAAGATGCAATCAGACCGTGCCCGCCGTATAGCACCCAAGATACGTTTAGCAATGTAGTCCCCTAGAGCGCCAGGGCAGGAGTGTACATTGTGCCCTGCTCCCTCACGCTTCCCAGCATCCAGGGACGTCCTTAGGAGGGATCCTCGGCGGCGCGAGCCAGCGCTCCGCTGCCCCAAGCGCCCGCGCACTCCCGGGGCCACCCCGAGGTGCTGCTCCCCTCGCTCTTCCCAGGGAACGCACCCCGCTTGGCACTGCCCAGCACACGGCGAGGGCCGCTTCTGCTCCTAGCTCGTTAGCCTTAACTGGGCAGCGAGAGCTGCGTCCACTGCGCCACAAGGACCCATTGAAATTCCCCCTGCTCCATTTTATCCGACTTTTTTTGGGGGGAGGAGGGGGTGGCCTGGGGGCTGAAGAGAGACCGCTAAAAGGAAGCCAGTTCCAGCACCTGGTTATTTCATTCTGTAAGACGGCGAGAAGGGAGCAGCCACTTGTAAAGTGAGCACAAAATAGCACTTACTAAGCAGCCGATCACAACAGCGTTTTTGTTTGTTTACATGCAAAACATCCCCCCACCCCTCATTTCAGTTAAAACCTCTAGCAAATGATTATGCTAAAACTAAGAGAGGGAAAAGCAGCTGGAGTGCAAATAAATACTCAAATATCACACTATTTGAAGAAGGGAAAAGATGCATTTTAGAATTGCGTGTGCGAGTATACAGACACATAGGTGCCTCTATCCATCGCTACGCGATTTCCCCTTCTCCAGCCACCAAGTTTTGCTAATTTACATAGCACTGGAGCTCAGGGCTGTACACAGAGCACTGCCAGGAACATGCAACTTCAGCTTCCACAACTGAGATCAATACAATGGACAAAACTAATGCTGTAACCAAAGCAGAAATGGTAAACAAATGATAGCAAGAAGAGAAAATGCTTATATAAACATACACGTACACACACACAAGTGAAAATTTACTATTAAACATCAGGTATTTATTACAATATATTTGCATGCAGAGCCCTCGGTGCGTTATCATGCTATTTAAATTTGTCTTTGCTATTTAGATGCAAAGGAAGTAGATCCCAAAACGGACATACCATAAACACTGGTGCTACTGATCATTTCTTGCTGGCAGCACAAAAAGCTGAATTGGATTTTTCACAAGCAGGAATTCCAAAGGTTGCTTTTCATTAAAGCCACTTTTCCTCTCAGCTATCAAATGTCACTGCCTTGAAACGTGGGCCCTTTCGTCAGGTATTCATTTAACCTACATGCATATAATTAAGTGGGAAAGCAACATCAACAAAAAGGGGATCTCAGATCACAAGAGAAGAAAGAAAGGGGGGGGGGGGGAGGGAAGCACATGACCAGGAATGCAAGTCCATGTCAATTCCACTCACTCCCATTGAAACTAGCGAGAGCTCCGGGGAGGACAGTAATAGGATCAGTGCGTTGTATATACCATTAAATTATACATCTGGCTCCCGCTCCGCGCCAACAATCCGCCCACCGCGCCGAGGTGCGCGCACTTCCCCGCCGCGGCTCCGCTCGCGCAGCCGCCCCCTCCCCCCGAGCCCTGGCAATTTAAACCCAACTTTTGTTCCGCACGGCTCTTATTTGCACTTATTTACTCCCAACTTAGTTGCCTCCAAGTCCGGCCCCGCGTTGCCTACACTTTATTTTTTATTTTTTTAAATGTAACTTAAAAATAAATCCAATTAGGAGGAGGAGGTGCGGAGGGAGGTCGCAATCGCGAACTCTTAATCTGCCTACTATTGTTGGCAGCGATCAAGGAGGAAAAACCCGTGCACGGCAATCGGGGAGCTGGACTTTCCACGCTACGGCCGGGGGAGCAGAGCGGAGCGTTTCGCAGCGAAAAGCGGCTGCGAATTAGACCAAATAATTCGAGCACGAGCGGGCGGTTAAAAAAATAATAATAATAAAATACATGGCTGTCGCGGAGAGCTTTAGGATTAAATAAAATTTAAAACGGTGGTAGGAAGATTGAAAAAAAAAATCCTCTTACCTGGAGATTTGGTAGGAGCACCCGGTAGGTTAGAGTAGCATCGATCCGACGTGTTTGCTGATGAATGGGGGCTCGGGTTAAGTGAAGGTGCCTATGATTTGAAATCATTCCAAGTTTTTGAAGGGAAGACTGACTGCAGCCTCTGCCATGTTGGAATTTCAAACCCAAAACAGCTGCTTTGCGCGGAGCCAGCATGCCAGCAGCTGGACGCCTGCGCAGAGCCGCCGAGCCAAATTCAAATCACTTTCACGCCAAGAGCCAAAGATCAGTTTTCAAAGCGGGCGAGGCGCGGGGGGCGGGGGCGCCGCTTCCCGCGGGGGGCGGCGCAGCGGCCGCAGCGCGCGGGGCCGCGGGACGCGCTCGGCGCCCTCCGCTCCGCTCCGCGCCGCTCCGCGCCGCTCCGCGCGGGGGCCCCCGCCTCCCCCGCGGGGCCTAGCGGGCAGGCCGGGCCCCTGCGGCGCGGCCTCCAGCGCGGGGCGCGGGACGGGGCAGCGGCGCCCCCCGCCCCTGGGGAGGCCCCTGGCAAACCGCTAATTCCGCACGAGGGAGGGGGAAAATGGCCGGAATTAAATACCCCGCGCTCCGGGCTAACTCCTCGCCGCCTCCCGGGCGGCCCGGGAGGGAGGGAGCCCGGCCGAGACTTCCACCGCCTCTGCCCCGCTCCCGGCGAGCGCCGGGAGTTGCCCGCATGAGCGCGGCTGCCGCGGGCGCCCCGGGCTCCCCGGCCATGGCTGAGGCCGAGGCCGAGGCAGCGCGGCCGCCGCTCCTCCCTCGGCGGCGGGGTGGCAGGGAGCCAGCCGCCCGGCCCGCGGCCGCCCTGCCGGGGACTCCCCTCGCATAAGAGGAATTCCCCGGGGGGCTGTTAGATGGGCTTTACAGCCTCTTTATGCTGGCAGGGAAGGCATAAAGTGGCCACACAGCACAAACTGGGCCCTCCCTCTTGCACGCTGGTCCTTCTCCAGCTCTCCCTCCTTTGCTGTGGCACAAACAGGTCTTTCTCCATCGCTCTCGCACCCAAGAAATCCCCCATGGCCGATACTCCCTGGCGCCCTGCGCCTCCCGCTGCCCGCCAGGCCGTATTGTGCGTATTGTGCGCGTGGGAAAAGGGGAATGAGGGAGGGAGAAGAGAGGCCTTTCCACATGGCAGAGCCACATTGCTCCCGGTTTTACACTTGAAGGGGCTCTCAGAGAACTTCTGCCTTCTAATGGAAACAGGCCACATTGTCCGGATGGGTGTGGGGTTAGGGTCCTGCTGAAGCGGATTCATTTCCTCCTTTCCTGGTCCAGCAGAATCCCCCCAGATGCTTGGGAGGGCTCTTTGCCCGACTTGAGTCTGGAAGAGATGGATTACAGCCTCTTAGTAGGAAAGGAAAATGCAGTGGGAGTCCATGTTCTAGAGGCAGCAAAGGAGTTCAGGCCTAGGGGAGGAACGGGAATGGGCTGGTTTCCTGCCTGTTTTCCTTTTCAGTAACAGAGCAGGCCTAAATAAATCCTAGGAGGACCTGCCAGCAGGAGCTGAAATATCTCAGCCGGTCACTGTCCTTGTGGGTAATGGAAGAAGAAAACAGGACAGGAAGGCCTGTGCAACTGGAGGTCGTCCATGAAGCAGCTCAGACAACCCCAAATGAATTTCACTAGTTTTAAGATTCTTTTGGGAGGCCAGAAACCCCCAGGTGGCAAAGCTATACCTTGGGATTAGGAAATAAATGGACACAGCAAAACAGCTACATAAACTTCTACTCTTAAGGATATTGAACATGTTTCTAGCCTCCTTAGCCAGCTCAAGATGTTGGTATAATTACCACTACTAGTATAATGACAGGGTATACTGAAGCAAACAGATGATTCTAGAGTAGATGCCATTTATACTAGCCAAACTGGTTTTGCTTTCCATATCTCCAAACTGCTACAAAATATGTAAGAGAAAACATAGTTCAAGTGAATATTGGGATACATAGTCATTTTTAGAACTCTACCACACTTACTAACACAGTCATGGCAGAAGAGGTCTAGAAAAATAGCTTTCTGACAGCCTTGCACCATCCAGTGTGGTCCCATCTGCAATATGTTCTTTTGACACCTTTTTCTCCCGAGAATTGGCCTTAGCATTAGCAGGTAACCGTTTGAAATGCAGGCGACCATCAATAGCTTCTGGTGTTCACTAACTTGACCAGACAACACATATTGTGCATAGTAGTGTCTGATTTTTAAATCCACAATGCTGCATATTACCTATGCCAGTGCGGTCAGCACCAAGCACTGAAAACATGTCGCCATCCTCCCAAGGTCAGGAAATGGATTTAAAAATCACATCACCAAATATAACAAGGATGCTTTCTGACTTTGCTTTTTAAAATATCCAGGTTCACTTTTTTCCCCTCTCCCCAAGCCAGGAAGACTATATATGCTTTTTTACTCAATGGAAAGATAAGTTTCTTACATGATTTCAAAGCTCGAGAACTTGCAGCTCTAAGAAGATAACAGCAACTGTCGTAAGGCACAGGGTGCCAACATTACTGGATGAGCACCAGTGCTTTTGAAATTTTCTGACCAATGAACAATATATTTATCAATCCTGTCACTGCATTAACCTCAGTATTTTCATTTCATATGCCTATATTTTTCCTCCCTTAAGGCTTCTCATGCCACATTAAAATAGCCTGGGTTCAAACAATAGCCATGCAATAAATGTTTGTATGGGTTGACATTCATCTCTAGGCAGAAGGTCAACATAAAGCTTATATACCATATTCAGTCCTTATTTTGAGGGCTGAATTAGATTGAAGTGAAGTCCTTGTTCAGCTCATCTGTACATGGATGAATTCCACTCTTTGTTTAAAATGCCACCAAATAGTCCTGATCATTTTGAATAGGAAATTCTCACAGACTTACAAACTGGGAATGTTGCTTTGAGCCTATTCTGAGATCTAGGTGAAACGTTCAAATGAAATTCAAAACCACATGAAACTTGCCTGGTTTCAGGTTTTGTTACACACTCAAAACTCAGACCAGGCTCCTTGAAAGGTTCACAGACCTTTTCAGCAAATCTAGATTAATAACATTTAAACTATTTGAATTGTCAAAACAAAACAACAAAAATCCCAGAAAACAAAGAACAGCAACATCTGATTATGATACATGAGTTTTCCCAGAGATGCTGATGGGAAGCAAACAGACAGTGTATTTACTACTTAGTGTACCTTGAAAAGATTCTAAAGAGCGATAACAAAAACAATGGTCTTTGATTCCTTTACACTATGTGCATGGATTTCATTTGTGAATAAAAGCACATTTTTAGAGCGGCAGACAATACCAGTGTTGTTTAAATCTAACAGCTCAGGAGCGTGTTTACTCCGCCGACAGCCACTGGGAATGCAGACCCTCCAGGGACGAGAAGGGCCTCCTGCCTCCCATGCTCCCTTCACCTTGGGGCAATCCCACCATTCTCCCACTCGGGCACCTCGCATGGGGCAGCAGCAGCTGTAAGTGCCTGCTGGCAGGTAATGCAACAGGATGACCTGCAAGTGCTCTTTTTGGGGGTCACTCGCAAATACGAAAGCGACCTTTTTCCCTTGCTAGGATCGTGACCCATTTAAAAGATCAGCCAACCCCGATCGGATACTCCAGCTGCACCTGTCTGGATCCCCATGGAGCAGGTGAGGGACTTCCCATCCCTTGCTTTGCGGCATCTCCAGGGTGGGTGTGGCAGGACAGATCTTCATGGCCCACCTCTCTAGCTGAAAACACTGCATTTTACCTCTCTGACTAGGTAGTCAGAGAGTCTGACTAGACGGTCAAAGAAGCCTCCACTTGTTTAGCTAAGTCTGATGCTCAGAACTATCAGATTTCTGCCTTTTTTTTCACGTGTCAGCTTGCTGGATCCAAGAGGCAGTGACAGCTGCCTGGGTCTTACAATATTGGTAAACAGGGTGGTCAAAAGTAATTGTCTGCTCTGCATACAATCAGCTTACATTTATTTGAATGAATGCTATAATTGAGTCCTATAAAAAAATAAAGCGGCAGTTATCAACAACACATGTGGCCTCCTGGTCCTTCCCAAGAGATTGCAAGAGGTGGATTCCTCCCTGGCAGCCCTACTGCTGTCCTGCACAGCTTGAAGCTGCACACATGACCAAGCCCTAGGCCAACAGCTAAGCCCAGAACAGATAAGGTTTGCCTGCCAGCTCCTTCAGCAGAGAGGTCCTCATCCTAAAGCATCGTTGTGTTTTATGACAGTTTCTGCCTTTGACTTGTGCAGTTTACTTTCACTCTAATGCATTTTCCTGTTCTTTTCCCTTCCTCAATGGTCGCAGTCTTCTGCATTCCAGTCAAGCTGCCACTTATTCCACACTGTGTGGTGATTTGGAGGAAGACGGCCAAGAAAACTCATAGACGCCTTTATTTTCTTTGTATTTAGCACCACTGGCAATTGAAAAGAGAAATCTGAGAGCAAGTCCTGCTCAGATCTGCCAGCCCTAGGAAAGAACATACCACAGATGGACACTTTGAAGAAGCTGGCAAATGAAATATGCAAACAAATTTTGGGGGATGAAATTTCTCTTAACTGAGGAAGACTTTCATAGGATGGTGAAAGAAGAATATTCCCCTCCCAAACTCCGAGTCCCACTGTAAGCTAGTAGTTAATATTTCAAAATGTTCTTAACATGAGCACAATGGACTTTCCCTCAGTGCACTCTGAGAAACAGCTGACCATATTTGCTGAAAGTTTCAAAAAAAAAAAAAAAAAAAAATAGCCCAAGGCAGATATTTGGCATGAAAATTGCTGCCCAGTGGTTTATGTTTGACAAAGTTATAGGCAACTGAAAACACGTAGCAAGTTCTTACAATGAAAGGTATCAGCTAATCTTGAATCTACATATCCCACTGCCAGCTGCTACAATTAACGATTAACAGTAGCAAAAACGTGATTTACAATAAATGTGATGTATTCAGAAACATCTTATTTTGGAGGGGAAGTGGAATAGTAAAAGCTGAACAATAACATTATTATAAAATTGCAGCCAATGTCATTGTTTCCCAAGCACCTTCTCTGTTCTTCTCAAAAACATTTTCTA